GATTCGCCAGGGAGCTCAGCGGCGCCCCGGGCTGGAGAATAATACTATAATATATACACACATACATACATACATACATACATACATACATACATACATACATACATACATATATATATATAATATACTATAATATAATATAATATAATATAATATAATATAATATAATATAATATAATATAATATAATATAATATAATATAATATAATATATACGAAACCTCAGTACCCGTACCTAATCATTGGGTCCCTCGGGCCCTGAGGGCAGCAAGAGCTCAGGAGCGGCCACGATGAGTAGTTCCCCAAATCAGGATCCCTTTTTATTTTAGATCCCCAAATCAAAAGGGCCCCACTTTAGAAAACTACCCAGAATCCTTACCAAACCATGACCCTAAACCCTAAAACCCTAAAGCCCTAAAACCTAAACCCCTCAAGCCCTACACCCTACACCCTAAACCCTAAACCCTAAACCCTAAACCCTAAACCCTAAAGCCCTCAAGAGCCCAGGAACGGACGACGAGTTCCCGAACTCCCAGGGTCGTGGCGGTGGAGCTTGACATGGCTCGCGCTTCCCAGGCTGATGAGGGTTTAGGGGTTTAGAGGTTTAGGGTTTAGGGTTTAGGGTTTAGGGTTTAGGGGTTTAGGGTTTAGGGTCTAGGGGTTATAGGGTTTAGGCGTTATAGGGTTTAGAACTTATAAGGTTTGGGGTTTGGGGTTTAGGGTTCGGGGGGATTCTGGGGTTGCCAGGGTTTGTGGAGGGTTTTCTAGGGGGTTTGTAGGGGTTTAGGCGTGAGGGCTTTAGGGTTTTCAAGGTTCCTGGGCTGAGGGTTCTAGAGTTCAGGGCTTTAGGGCGGTTTAGGGTTTAGCCCCCGAAACCCCTAAACCCTAAACCCTAAAACCCTAAACCCCTAAAGCCCTAAAGCCCTAAAGCCCTGAAGCCCAAATCCTACCATGGCCCTGAGCTTCCCAGGCCCCTGGTGGGATGAGGCTTCCTGCTTTGCAGCTACTGGGCTTTGGAGTACCATACTTTCAGACCATACTTTCATAGTTTTTAGGGTTTAGGGTTTAGGCACTTTCTTGTTCTGGGCTTTGGGGTACCATACTTTCATCCTCTTTTTTGGGACCTGTTCCTCACAGGAACCATTATGACATAAAAGTCTATACTTTTGTCTCCCTGGTTACTTCAACCCTAAACCCTAAACCCTAAGCCGTAAACCCTACTTCAAAGCCCAGGCTACCACTCTCCGACATCGAAGCATCAGAGTTCGCGGGCATCACCACCAAGAGGATGCAGAGCAAGGTCTACCAGTTGCCCTCCCAGGCATCCTCGGGAAACTGGGTTCGGGGTTTTCGGAGTTTAGGGTTTAATTAGGGTTTAATTAGGGGTTTAGGGGTTTAGGGGTTTAGGGGTTTAGGGGTTTAGGGGTTTAGGGTTTAGGGTTTCCAGCTGCCCGCTCAGGCATCAGCCACGACCGGGCTCCCATGCACGATTGAGCTTTGCGGTCCCGGCGTGATTCATGTTCTGGAAGGGTCCCTGCGGTTTGCCAAGGAGACAGATAAGAAGGAGAAGATGCTTAGCTCCACAATACCTAACCTTTAAGCTTTTTGGGTTCTTAAAATTCCGTAGTAATCTGAAAGTTTAACCTTTATTTCCCTGGCTTCTTGGGGAAGTAAGGATGGTGGATGCTGGCACCACCATTCTTCTGAAGGATGCCTCCAGTCACTTGTTGGCTCCGGCCGACAAGGACGGAGAGAGCTCAGGAGTTCGCTTCTTCTGGGTGGGGATAAGGTGATCACACAGGAAAGCGTGTGTGTTTGGGACCGCCCTGCCGCAGATCTGAGCTTCTGGCTAGGTATCGTCAGGTATAGTACTTTCACCGCAAATGCCCCCCCGGCCAATGGTCTGCCATTCAATGTGCGGAGCCTCTGTGCTCCTTGCAGATATGCTTTGGTGATGGGGTTGCTGCCTACAGAGTGCAGCCTGAACTCTGTAGTCTTGGGTACGTTCCGATGTTGAGAGCAGTCGCAGCAGCAACCCTGTGCTGTCGTAGGAGCTGTCCAATGCCTCCAATCTCGCTGTGTCGGGAAAAAGTGCATCAAAGGGGGGTCGAGAGGGCCTCAAGAGCGACCGAGTCTCTGTGTTTCAGAAAATTTTGGGACGTCCTGGCGCCGATCACCGCGAGGTTCACAGGTTTCACAGCATCAGCCTTTACACAAGATGCCAAAAGACGCCAGCAGCACCTTGCAGGCTCAACGTGGTACTGCAGCACCCTTCCTAATTCGTCCTGTTCTGCCACACGGAGTTGAGTGTAGAACCTGATTGGCGAACTCCGTGGCTGCCAGACAGCAGGCCCGTCGGCTGAGAAGTGAGCTCTTGTTATAAGGAGCTTATATCAAGTTGCCAGTGTAGGGATCTATAGTGAAGATTTGTCTTGCTATGGCTTCAAATCAAGTTCCTGAACATAAGTCCGAGAAGTGAGCGCAAGGCAGAACAGCATCTTGAATTGAAATGCAGTACAGAGGTCACCTGGGCGCGATGGTCTCCGGTCAAGCAGATGCCTTACAGATCCCTCCGCGGATTCAGGGGTTTAGGGGTTCAGGG